CCCCTTCCCACCCCCAGCATGTTGCAAGCAGTGGCTGGATCAGCTTGTGTTTGAGAGAAAGCGCTTGTGCCCTGATGAAGTGCTCAATAATGCCGTGGTTGGAACCAGAGCTCTGGATCCCAGAATCATCTGGGCTGTATGTGCCCCCATCTCTACCCAACAGCAAGGTCTTGGAATTTAATATACTTTCAAGTGAGTTTTAGTATGTGTGACATTTTTCAACCAAAAGCTTAGTTCAGAGGAATGTCAGTTTGGGGAGAGAGCTCTCAAGATGTGCTGTTGTGTCTTAATGAGATCCTGATCTCAGAGGCAACCTCGGAGCTGCCTCCTGTTGAAGGATGCACATTCCTCCATTTCCTCTGGAAGCACAGTAGTTAATGAATTTAGCTGAGTCGAGAAGCCCCCAACCCTATCTGAACTCAAAGAGGTCTGCCCTACCATTGGTTAAACAGAGCTATGTTAATAAAAATTACCCAGTACTTTTCCCATTAAAAGTGATTAAGTTACTCTGAGGGCCCCAGAGTTTTAAACCACCCCAGGGGAGGGAGGGACAGTGATAATATCATTCCCCTGAAAGAGTTGGGTTTCTGTTTATTTTCAACACAGGCAGCTGGTAAGTAAATTTATCCTCAAAAGGAGTGACCCTTTTAATGGTTCCACTTTACCTGAAAAAAAGTAACTCTTTTACACTCACTTAGCCTTGGCTCCCCATTCCGGGTCCAACTGATAGACCTGGGAAATAGTTTTCACCTGCATTGTCAAGTCTGGTTCATTGGTGGTGGTGGGGAGGCGGGGGTGGGGGGGGGGGGGGTGCTGCCTTGGTTGAGAGGGGATCTGGGCCCTTACCTGGGCTCGGTGGAAATGAGTGATGTGAGTGATTAGTGATGTCTGGGGCCATGATTGGTGAAGTCTGCTAAGGAAAGGGCTGGAAGGACTGCTCCTTTGTATTAACCATCACTGTCAGTTACCATGAGATTCATTTAGGTCATGAATTTAGGCACCCTGAGCCCTTCTCCTTTCTGGACAACCGATGACAGTGATCCTGGCATTTCTGAGTTTCTTTGTAAGGGATCTCTTAAAAACCCAGGGATCCAAGGATTTCTAAGCACTGCAGTGATCATCAGAGAAACAACAGAGTTAAGACAGAAAGAAGTTGTTTTCAGGGGGAACTGGGAACAATGTTCTTTCCAGTTTATTGTAAATGCTGGGGCCTGCCCTTTCCATGCTCTCAGACCTCAGCTCTTCTTAGGAAAATTCATTTAAACTCCCTGGGTACCCTAAGTGAGTCTATAGTTAGCGTTGGTGCAAATATTACTGCAAGGGTGGTCCGTAAGGAATCACCCAGGCTATGCGTCAGAAATGACGATTCTGAGACTCATGAAGACCTTTGGAATCAGATGCTCTGGGGCAGGGCCTGGATACCTGCATTTGCCAACTCCCCCAGGCAGGACCAACTACATAATTTGTGGGGCCCAGTACAAAATGAAAATGTGGAGCCCCTTGTTAAAAACTTACAAAGAATTTCAAGACAGTGACAGCAGAGCATTAAACCAAGCAGGGGGTCCTTCTAAGAGGAGGCTGGCCCCGTCCTCAGGTCATTTTGTTGTGGAGTAAGTTTTAGAATCCTGAACTAATACCTCACGCAGAAAGGCAGAGGTGAGATTATTCAGCTTTTCCATCCATCCCAAGTGCTGGGGGTGGGGAGAGAGGAGTGCCGAGACAACTCCCTGACCCCCCTCTCATATAGCGCTGTAGGCCTGCACTTCCCCAGCCCCACTCGGCACGCTGTGAGACCTCTACCCTCCACAACATTTCAACAGTTTCTGAAATCTCACCTCTCCCCTAAATATTCCCAAGTTGATGACATGGAAAACTCATGGCCATTTCCGTGGGATCCTCCCCGCCTGTTGACTCACTCAGTGAGTTATCTAACTAAATACCAAAATACATAAAGCCTGCAATTCAGCGGAGCTCCAGAGAACTATTGGTGTTCCACTTATACACGAATTCCCAAGGCTCATTTGTTGGATTATCCAGTATAACTGGCACCACCAAAAGCACTCACCACCCATATGATGTTTGATGCTCCACAGAAAGGTTTGGAATTCAAGGCTCCTCTTTTGTGAACCGACCCTTGTGATAAAGATATTGGTTACTAACTTAAGTTAGTAAGTGTCTCCCATTACAGAAAGAGCAGATATAGACTTCTAAGACACACAAGTGTTTCTTCTATTATCTACTCATATCTTGCTTTTAATATTCTTATTGCTTTTGTACTCCTTTTTTTTTTTTTTTGGACCAAAACTCAGATTTGACCATTGCTGCCATCCTAGAGCCTAGAGAATAAAATGTCCTCCTTAGTTTGGCACTTCGGGTCTCACACAGCTTATATTTTATGGAGGGAGACAGAGAATAAATGTGTAAACCATAAAATAATTGCAACTTATGATTAGAGCTGTTTTTAAAACCCCAACATGCTAAGAAAATAATGAGAAAGGGGCAAGCAGTCGCTGTAGATGGTGTGAGCAGAAATGCCCTCTTTGAGGAAGCCCATCAGTCCCTAGTTTTTGGTTCGCAAGTGACAAAAACCAAACTCAAAACACTTAAAGCAAAGAAAGAGAGGAAATGAAAAGAAGGAAGGAAGGGGGAGAGAGAAAGAGAGAAAAAGGAAAAGGAAGAAAGAGAAAGCAAGCAAGCAGGCATGAGTACTGGAGGCCTTAGTCAACGTCATTGGGAGGGACGTGGCTTCTCTGTCCCTTTCTCTGTTTCTTGACTCTCCGGTCTTCTCTATTCCCCCAAGCCCCGCCCCCTGCCAGTCTCCTCCTGTGCTTCCCAGATAGCCATTGCAACTCCAAGCTCACGTCCTACCAACTTAGCCAACCCTGTGGAAAGAAAATACCTCTTTCTCATGGGTTCCAGAAAGACTTCAGAGGCTGACCCTCATTGGCCAATCATAAATCATATGCCAATCCTTGAACCCATCGCTGCAGTCAGAGCTAGGTTATATGCCTTGGAACTTCATAGAAAGGGTTTGGCCTCTTCCTCCAAAATCTCATCAACTGAGGGTAGGGCAGGCTGATTCCTCCAAAGGAAAATTTGGATTTTGCTACCAAAAGAAGTGGGGAGAAATGCCCAGAAGGCATGCATAACAGAGGTCCACCAAAGGAAATGACAATCTGAGATCCGAGGAGAAAAAACTAGCCATGTGAAGAGTTGAGTGGGAAGGAATGTTCCAGACAGAGGGAGTGGCAGGAAAAATTGACACTTAAAAGAAACTAATAGAAGATCATTATGTCTGAAGGGTGGAGAGCCAGGGCATCAGTGACTTACTATGAGTCTAGAGAGGACGGCAGGGGTTAGGTCATTAGAATATTCTAGCCAAGGGCTTTCCCTATGTGACAAATTTTTTTGGAGATCTTTCAGCAATCTCCTCTTATTTAGATTTACTAAATTTTTGAGATTTCAGCTACTCTGTTCCAAAAGGGACAGACTTTCTACCTTAAAAGTGGCAAAACATCACATCATGACATTTAACTTGAAGATGCTTAATGCTCATTAACCAATTATTTAGAAGCTTTTGTTTTTAAGATGTAAAGAATACGTCAAGTTGTTACTGGTTAGACCAATTTAGACCTCGGATCTCTTAAATTTGCTCAAAAAATTCTAAATGTATTACACAGTGCTAAGACTTCTCAGATTCGACTAGATCAGGAGCATTTTATTTCCTGAGGATATGGAAGTTTGCCTGTATAAGCTGTATTTAGAAAATTATTCAAAAATTTTATAAATCAGATTGAGCCAATCTGGATTTTGAACATTTGCTATGATTTTAGCATTTCATCTGTTTATTTCTTAATATCTAGCCAGATTAGACTAAAGTCTTTTCATCTCAAATGGCATGGCTACGCATTAAAATGAACGGAAGGAAGCTGACTTGACAACGTGTGTGTGGTTTTTTTTTTGTCACCAATCAGATCACACTTTTCTTATTAATAGAAAAATGCTTATATTGAAAACAATGAAGAAAACAAGAAAGAACAAAGTTGTATGTGACTGACAGCTGGTTTCCTTGGGAGCTAGCTGTTGTGACTTCGGATTCGTTGCACAAATATGCCAGGCATGAGAAGACTGAGCTAGCAGACCCTGGAAGTTGGCATCGTTTCATTCAGATCATATTATTACTTTTGCCCCATCATGTTCCCACTGCAGGGCTTTTGCCAGTTTCCCTTTAACGAATGCAGAAGCCCCACAACAATCTATTATGAGTTTTTTTCCTCACTAGAGATTTATTTGGGTTTTGTTGTTGTTATACTTAACATAACAGATGTTCTGGCATTTTTTCACATAATACCACTGTGAGTCTCATATTATCCTTAAAAGCCTACAAAATTTTCTCTGAAATAATTTCCTCCTCCTTTGGAATTTTATCTTCAAGGATGCCTTTTTCTACTATTTGTAATGGTATATTAAAACAAACGCTATGTAGAAAAGGAACTGTTTACTTCTATGTTTTAGAACTTCGGAATTAATTGCTGTTGAAAGATAATTACCCCAATGCTGGAGTCACAGAGTCTACACATCTATTCAAAGAGAATAAAAACATTCCTTTTGATTTTCCCAGTTCTGCCCCCAATTTATAAGCAGGATCCATAGTGATAGTAGTAGACTCACTTAGGAATATTCTAGAGACAAGTTGCAGATCTGGTTTTAATCCAATGTGTTTGAGCCTCAGTCAAACGCCTAAAGCACACGCTCTGTGTCTCCTGGGAAAGAGAAGCGGAGAAGCTCCTATGTAAGGATCCTGTAATTATTAGACTCGAGAGGCTCTGATCTGGGTAGTTCCCAGGTTGCTGTCACCTGGTGTTGGATGCACTTTCAAGACTAAGGTTTATCCAAAGGCAGTATAGTGGTTGACCATCAGGCCTGACATCCCCCAAAGCAGCCTGGACAGTTACTGACACGCTGCTGCCATCTTCCTTGGGGGCTAATGGTACATTTACCTGGCTCTTTGTCTTCATGGGTAAGGTGAGGGCTCCTTGTTGTGTTTGCTTTCTGTCACCAAAGAGAACAGGACAACGTAAAGTATCCTCTGATGGGCTAAAAGCCTCTACAAAGAATGGTTAAACAAACAAAGCATTAAGTTGCCTTTCAAGCCAGCCTGGCCCTCTCTCCTAATTGTGTGGAGAGCTGATTGACAAAATTGAATATCCTTAAGAATCAATTTCCTCCTCATCGGGTCATTCCTCAGCACAAAAGTTCTAAGGGCCACAGGTTAAATTCCAAACTCATTGTTCAGCCATTCAATGAACTGGCAGGAGCCTACCTCATATTGTTTTCTGCCTCTGCTCTCCGAGATGTCCCTCAGCCACACTGTTCTACTAAGGAACACACCAGACTGAGCCCAGGATATTCCCTTTCTGCCTCCTCTGTTACTGCATCTATAGCCCAAAATGGCCACTCTCTTGACCTTTAGCATTTATTGCTAACTTCCTTTCTATAGTATCGCTATGTTGGTTAAGATTCTTTTGGTTGCAGGTGACACAAAATGCAAACCAAACTAGCTTAGGCAAAAAAGAAAGAAAAGAATTTGCTGTTTGTTATAACTGAACAGAGTCCAGGGGGGACTCTGTCGATTTCACGCCCGTCTTGATTCAGATGCTGCGCCTGAGATCCAGTTTTCCTCTCTCCAGTTCTCAGTTCCGTATCTTTGGCGTTGATTTCGTTCGGTGGCCCTACCTGGGCATAAGGTGACTGCCAGCAGCTCCCAGGGCTCTATCCTGCCAGCTTCCTATGCAGTGGGAGATAGGAAGATCTTGGTACCACATTCCCAGTCAGAATCTCATTGATCATGAACAGGACAATGTGATGAGCTGATTAGCTTGATCCAAGCCACATATTCCAGTCTTGGGTGGAGTCAAATCTACCTGAAGCACATGGACTGAAAGTGGGGGAGGAGTGACTTCACAGAAGGAGAGGAGACAATGGATACAGTTAGCAGAGATGCAAACGCGCCATAGAGACTAGCTCCCTATCCAGTTATAAGCTAACTTGAGGACAGATATCTCAGCTCCTACCTCTGTTCTTTCCCCAGAATGGATCCTACACTCAATAGGTGTTTCAAGAGGGCATCAGTTGATTGATAACTATCTACATAAACTTTTTGACTAATATCACCAAAGCCAGAAATAATCAACATTTTTAAAACTGTGGCTAATCGAAACCTTGCCTTGATGACTTTTTTCTTTTAGCTAGCAGACGTCATGCAGCTCACAGTGGTTATGTCTGTAGACACCAGCTCTGTTTAGGTGCCACATGTTTTAACAGGTGCCTGAAGCTGCCAAAGCAGAGGGCCTGGCAGGATGCTGGCGATTCTCTGGATGAAGTTTCCTTTCACTGTGAAGAAGCCAGACCCTGTGATTCTGCCCGTGATCCTCACCTTAAGCCACGTCCTTGATAATGGACTTTCTTTGGCTTCTTATTGACTTTTGATGGCCTGGGATGCTGGCCTACCCATTAACTCTGATTATGGTAAAAGATGCATTTCTGTTGCTATATGAAAGTCAGTTGGAAGAGGGAGAAAAACACTGTAACTGGGATTCTAGATGATAGAACAATAACATTTATTTATTTAATGAAATATATCTGGACTACGAACTGAGCTAGGCACTAGCAAAACAGAGGTGAGCAAAAAGAGAAATGGTCCCTGCCCCACAGACCTTGCAGGTGAGTTGCAGGAACACACACTAATCAGTTACCTGTGAACAGAGCGCACTGTGCTTCCCTTCCACTGCCCTTACTATGTTTGCAATGAAACTTGATGAACCGCCCTCTCCTCTTCCATTATGCTAAAGGTCCCACAAGTCCCTGTTTGTTGTAGCCTCAGACCCATGATTTGAGCAAAGTGCTTACCACCACTATAGTGCTGAAGACATATCTGAAATATTCATTGATTGAACGAAAATTGAATGAATGAATGTCTTATTCTAGGCAAGTCATGAACCGTCATTTACCTCCAACATTGCACCTGAGCTGAAATACAATGGAAGAGCTTTCCTTTAGTTATTTACATAAATAAAGATAATAAAAGTTTACTTAACCTTCTCTAAATGCTGATTCTTATATTCAAGATGGTCAGTCCTAAGCATCTGTGTTTTTAGAGTCTGTAGGAAATGACCTATTATTCTCTGCCTCTAGGGCTTTTGATTTATTTTAGAGGGAGGCAGGGAGAACAGATTTTATTCATTCATTAACCAGTATTGGTTACTAAATGTCTACCACTGCTCTAGCACCAGAGATAGAGAGAGAAAAAGACCAAGGCCTCACCCTCATGAAGCTTACAATTTTGGAGCTTTCTGTGCATGGGGCATGTGGGGAGTATCTTGGTTTCCTCGGACTGCTGTAACAGATTACCAAAAACTTGGTGACTTTAGTCTCTCACAGTCCTGGAGGCCAGAAGTCTGAAATTGAGGTGTCAGCAGGGTTATTCCCTCTGGAACCTCTGAAGGAGAATCCGTCCCACGGCTCTCTTCTAGCTTGTGGTCGTTGCCGGCAACCCCTGATGTCCCTTGGCTTGGGTCACTCCAACTCCACCTCCATCTTCACTTGGCTTTCCCTTCTGGGTCTCTGGGTCTCTGATCTCCTTTTCCTTTCTCTCAATGGCACTAATCATTGGATTTAAGGTCCACCCAAATCCAGGAGGATCTCATCTCGAGATCCTTCACTTAATCACATCCGCAAAGACACTATTTCCTTATAAGGTCACATTCACGGCACCTGGGGCTCAGTCTTGGGCATATTTTTGTGGGGACACTATTCAACCCACCATACGGAGTCTTGCTCCTAATGTTGTTCCCTTGCCAAGTGGCCAGAGGCCTGTTTTCTGACTTTATGCCTTTCCTTACCTCCTTCCTCCTGTGGCCCTCCACTCAGACCTTGTTGACCTCACACATCCCAACCACCCTGGTTCTCGGTCCTGGGACCCTGGTCTAGCCAGGGTCAGACAGAAGGAAGGGACCCCGATGACCCAAGGCCACCAATCACTGAGTGAATGATTCTTAAAACTTTGCAAAATGAAGGAGTGAAATAAAGTTTCCATCGGCAGAAATCACCTTGAGACCTTAACAACTTTTGTTTAACATCTGTGGCTTCAAAGGAGAGAAATAACTCAAGGTACTTTAGCAGAGAATGATTAATTTCTGATGGATTATTTGACATTGTGCTACATTTATAAATTAGAAGGGAGCAGACAAAATCTAGAGAAATTATCTACAGCTGAGAAGTAGGAAGAAGGCTGTGACCACATTTCTGAGGCTGACCAAGCCCCAGCACTGAGATGTCAGATGAATTAGGCACCCACATCAGCTGGGGACCTCTCACCTAATTTAGAGAAGTGATATTCACAAACATTGTCAATATTTCCGAGTTTACAATCACACCTTTGACTGTTGACTTAAAGCATCTAGTTTGGTTCAGGCTACTGGTGATGTTTACACTTTGGAATCTATTATGCATAGAAAAATTAGGGATTATCTTTGACCTGGGTACCACATATTCTTATGCAAAACTAAGTAGGGTTATTTATTCATTTAATCAATTCCATATGTTTGCTATCATCATCACCATGTAGAGCAGATCTGATTTCTGCTGAGGTCAAACCAACATCGTCCTGTGCGTGGGGATGGTAGGTCTGATTGCGAACACAGATAGCCTGGTTGGCATTCAGACGGCGTTAAGCCTTCCTGACTTTTGCCACACAATGGCATCGTTTTTCCCGAAAGGTCATCGGCCATTCAAAGACAGAATCAAGAGAAGAGTTTTTTTCTTTGGGGAAGTAAAATACAAGGCCTAATATGTGGGAAGGATATGACTTTGTATTTGCTTTTTAGCTCAATCTGGGGTGTGTGGAGGAAGAGAACAGAGGCAGTGATGAGGCAACTTGTGAGTGCTGCCACATGCAAAATTGTGACCCAGAGAGATGATATTTAATTCTACAAAATCCCACCAACCTCAGTGCTGACTGTGTCCCAGGTGCTGCACTAGGCTCTAGTGATGCAAAGATGAATTACGTACCTCTTTGGCCCTCAGGGCGTTCTGAGACAGACACAGACAGACTCACAGACAGACAGAGAGGAAACGTACGCGTAGCGTATAGTACATACAAGAGCTAAGGGGATTCGAATGAGGAAATGTTGACTCTGTGGGGTTGAGGCTGGGATGGAATTGAGGAGGAAAAAACAGAAAAGTTCAGCGAAGTGTTCTATCTCTACCTCATAGGTTCAATAAAAGTCAGTTACTTGGGCAAGGCAAGAGGAAACATTCCACGGAGATGCAACCGCAGGAGCAAGGCAAAAAGGCAGGACAGTGCAAGACGTCTTCAGGCATTATTAAGCTCTTTGTGTGGCTAGAGTATTGGGTGCAGGGGGCAAGGATTTGGGGTGAGGGATGAGGGTAGTGACTTGATAAGGAACCAGATTAGGGAAAGGAAGATGGGTTATGAAGGGCCCTTTATGAAAAACTATGGATTTAGATGACTTAGAAGAGGAGAGGATGGCGGAGTAGGGAGAGGCTGGGGACAGCTGGGACCGCTCGGAGACTGTTCATCACCCACGCATCTGGGAAGCAGGTAGGAAGAGAGTGGGGCGGAGATGGGGACATGATGAGTTTGAACCTGGGGCAAGATGAGGTTCATCTGAGAACTCAGAGCCCACTCCCAGCAAGCAGGGGCACACAGCTCTGGAACTCAGTGGGACAGGCTCTGCCAGCTCCATCAGTATCTCCTTGACCTTCATTCAACCCATTCAACAAATATTTGTCCAGCACCCAGTATGTGCCAGGCATTCTGCGAAGCCCAGGGGACTCCAAGATGAAGAGTGAATGAATTGTCATGAAGCCAAATGGAAACCCAGAAAAAGTAAAGAGAAAAAATGGTTTCTCTCTCTAGTGATTAAAGAAAAACACATTAATCTTGAGATACCATTTTCTTTTTTTTTTTTAAAGATTGGCACCTAGGCTAACAACTGTTGCCAATCTTCCTTTTTTTTTTTTTAAGGATTGGCACCTGGGCTAACAACTGTTGCCAATCTGTTTTTTTTTCCTGCTTTATTTCCCAAACCTGTCCCCCCCCCCACCCCCACCGGTACATAGTTGTATATCTTAGTTGCAGGTCCTTCTGGTTGTGGGATGTGGGACGCCGCCTCATCGTGGCCTGACAAGCGGTGCAGTGTCTGCGCCCAGGTCCGCCACAGAGGAGTGCATGGACTTAACCACTCGGCCACGGAGCCAGCCCCGAGATACCATTTTCTAACCATTAAGGTAGCTTTGTTAATTTTTCCCAATGATGTTGCCCAAATGCTGACCAGGCTGCACCTAACTCATGTGCTCTTTCATTACCGGCTGCTTCGTCCCCAGGGTAGCCTCTACTCAACCTCTGTCATGTACCTGCCTGCCCAGTACTTTGGGTACATTCTTGCTGTGTCTGGGAAATTCTCAGCTCATGGGACTTGCTTCCCCGATCCAAAGTCAGACATTTCAGCCCCCATGTGACCCTGTCCCACTGCGGAGAGAGTCAAGACTGGTTCTGGCCAGCCCACAAAACTGAGCAATGAGGCAGGATGCCCTGCACATCCACATTCCTGGTGAGAGGGTGGCAGTGGCACCAGGTCACGTCCTGGAGCAAAGTTGGCACTAGCAGGGCAGCTGCAGGTGGAGGACGGTGGGTCCCCCTCAGGCTGGGTCCTGATGCTGGAGAAGCTGCGTGCCCAGTGGGTTCAGGCAGCTCCATCCTCATCGTGCCAAGCAAATCAGACCGGCTAGGTGTCTGGTTTTTGGAGAACAGCTCAGGAAATTATGGTTCATCGATATAATGGGGACTCATCCAGCCATTTAATTTAGAGAACT